TGTGCTGCTTCCAGTTCTCTACTGTTAAACATCAGAGATGAACTCCTATTTTATCTATCTTTCTCTACACCTCCAATTATTTCCTTAGGATAAAGCCCTAAGAGTAAGATTGCTAGCTCAAAAGTAAGATTTTGGGTACATTTTGCTAAACTCTTCTCCAGAAAGGTTTACCAATTTACATTTCGGAGAGCAGCATATCAAAGACCCTAGCTATTCAAAATTTAGTCTTGGAATTTTAAATTAAGGCTTTTATATATAAGATTTCTCTACAACAATTATTTTTACCAAAAAGACAAAAGTTCTTTTTACAGAATCTAAAATAAACAATCCTAATACGCAAATTACCCCAGTTCCGACTAAAATCAGGTATACTGACTCAGGATTTCTTAAAGAAATGGGGGACTCCAGGAATCAGACAGGAACAAGATGAGCCTGGAACATCTTTTTGTGCCAAAAAGTAAGAAAATCATCAAAAAAAATGATGGGGACATATCAAAAGGACACAGGAGCCACCCTGAAAGACCTCTTGCTTACTAAATTTGGGACAGTTTAAGCATAAAAATGAATAATGAATTATAACATTTTGAATTTGAAAAAGTGTCTTCAAGTCTACAATCAAGCAATAAATAAATGAATGGAAGAATGAATAAATAAAAGAAGATAAAGGAGGGAAACTCATTTATGCTAGCATTTTTTGCTTTCTTTACACTGCTATTGTAATAATATTTAATTCAAACAAGAATCATCAATGAATATAAAAACCTTGAGCAAATGTTTATTGAGAGAAGATATTTGCATAGCCTCAAAGTACCTACCAATAGCTTAATTATTAATTACAAAGGGAAAATAGGTATTTTTACTGTGAAGAAAGCATATGAACCCAAATAAACCAGGGGTTTAAAATTAACATCACCAATGATGGGACAAACTGACCACGTGACTCCCTTAAGATGCCATGAAGACCCATGACCAATGCACATTCCCAACAAAACCACCTAAATTTAAATTAGGCAGGAGGGGTAGGAAATCAGGTAAACCCACAATGGGGAATATTCTAGAAAACGACTGTCTTATACTCTTCAAAAATGTCAAAAGTCTTATAAGACATGAAGAGAAGCTCTTTTACATTAAAGCAGACTAAACAGATACTATATGCAATGTAAAAGCCTAGATTGGATCCTAGGTTGGGAAAAAATTGCCATAAAAAGTTATTACTGGAATAACTGGCAACATTTGAATACAGTTTGTATAATAAGTAATACTGTTATATCACTGATGAATTTCCTGATTGTTAATTATAGTATGTTGTATTCTTAATTCCTGAAGCATTCAGGGATAAAGGTACATAGCACCTGTAATTTACACTCACAGTTTAGCAAAAGTAACTAAATATGAATGCGTATAAATCAATAACAACCAGAGATAAAGCATTTGCAAACTGCTACTAAAGGGTGAGTCTAGGACAGTGGTATTCAACCTTCCCAATGCTGCGACCTTTTAATACAGTTCCTCATGTTGTGGTGACCCCCAACCATAAAATTATTTTCGTTACCATAACTGTAATTTTGCTGTTATAAATCGTAATGTAAATATGTGATATGTAGGATGTATTTAGGCGACCCCCATGAAAGGACTGTTC